AAGGTGCAGTAGATGCAAGGGATAGATGGGACATGTCAAGGTGCAGTAGATGCAAGGGATAGATGGGACATGTCAAGGTGCAGTAGATGCAAGGGATAGATGGGACATGTCAAGGTGCAGTAGATGCAAGGGATAGATGGGACATGTCAAGGTGCAGTAGATGCAAGGGATAGATGGGACATGTCAAGGTGCAGTAGATGCAAGGGATAGATGGGACATGTCAAGGTGCAGTAGATGCAAGGGATAGATGGGACATGTCAAGGTGCAGTAGATGCAAGGGATAGATGGGACATGTCAAGGTGCAGTAGATGCAAGGGATAGATGGGACATGTCAAGGTGCAGTAGATGCAAGGGATAGATGGGACATGTCAAGGTGCAGTAGATGCAAGGGATAGATGGGACATGTCAAGGTGCAGTAGATGCAAGGGATAGATGGGACATGTCAAGGTGCAGTAGATGCAAGGGATAGATGGGACATGTCAAGGTGCAGTAGATGCAAGGGATAGATGGGACATGTCAAGGTGCAGTAGATGCAAGGGATAGATGGGACATGTCAAGGTGCAGTAGATGCAAGGGATAGATGGGACATGTCAAGGTGCAGTAGATGCAAGGGATAGATGGGACATGTCAAGGTGCAGTAGGTGAAAAGGAAAGATGGGACAGGTGCAGTAGATGCAAGGGATAGATGGGACATGTCCAGGTGCAGTAGATGCAAGGGATAGATGGGACATGTCCAGGTGCAGTAGGTGAAAAGGAAAGATGGGACAGGTGCAGTAGATGCAAGGGATAGATGGGACATGTCCAGGTGCAGTAGATGCAAGGGATAGATGGGACATGTCTAGGTGCAGTAGGTGAAAAGGAAAGATGGGACAGGTGCCGTAGATGCAAGGGATAGATGGGACATGTCTAGGTGCAGTAGGTGAAAAGGAAAGATGGGACAGGTGCCGTAGTTGCAAGGGATGATGGGACAGGTGCAGTAGGTGCAAGGGATAGATGAGACATGTCCAGGTGCAGCAGATGCAAGGGATAGATGTGACATATCTAGGTGCAGTAGATGCAAGGGATGATGGGACATGTCTAGGTGCAGTAGATGCAAGGGATGATGGGACATGTC